TGTCATGTTCTCCCGGTGCATGCCTGGGTTTCCTCCAGGTACTCTGGGCCTCCTCGCATAGTCCAAAGACAAGCTTGTTAGGCTAATTGGTGGCTCTTAAAATTGGCTGTAGGTTTGAATGTGAGTGTTCATGGTTGATTTTCTCTGTATGTTGGCCTGACCTGCTGGTGTGTAACTGCCTCACAGCTGGGTTCATGACAGTTCCAGCCCCCTGTGACCCTAAAAAGAACAAGTGGTAATGGATTGATTGATTTTTTTATGTGTCAATGAAAACAAGTCGGCTCATGTTTATCAGGCCATACAGGTCATGACTGGAAAGGTGAAGGTATGGGATTGTTATATAGTAATAATATCAGGGAGAAAAAAAAGTGTGCGTCTCCTTTTTCTTTGATAGTCATTTTAAAGGACAAGTTTCTTTATTTACCAGTTTTGGGAAACATTGAATTCCTGTTGATCTCTGAGTACATTTTTCCTCAGAAACATAAAATAATGAGTTTTTAAAGCGGTCCTATTATGAAAAATAAACTTTTACAGTGTTTTTGAAGATATATTTGGTTAACCTGAGTGTCTACCTACCCACAAAATGTGAAATAATCCCATCCAGTCCTTTGTTTGTGGTCTGCATAAGTCTTACAAAACAGAGAAAAATGCTCCGTTTCAAATTTGCTCTCCTTGTGATGTCACAGTGGGAAAAAATACCCTCCCCTCCCCTGGTATCTCCACCCATGGACTCCACCCCCAGCCTAAAGGAAAAAACCTTTGCGCAGGTCCGTCATTTTTATTCTCACTACAGAGGAGTTATGTCTACTGGGAAAACCCGGGGGACGGAGTGTTCTGAGAGAGCTAGTTTATACAGGGTCACAAACCTCCTCTGGTTTAATATGTCCTCTTTAAGTTAAACTCAGCATCTCTTCAGTGATGTTACCTTTCTAGAACGTGATATAAAAACCATATTTGGAACAACAGTTTATATTTCATCTCATTTACACAAAAAGCAAAACATCACGTCATTTTCTTGAGTTCACCGCAAAAAAAAACAAACACTGAGCAAACAGAAAATGTTCCTTTGGCTGCCTGTTAGGAAACAATGATGACGCGTTAGCCTTTAAATCAGCTGAGTTGGCTGACCTTTGGGGCTGTGTAACAGAGACACACACAACCACTTAGCATAAAGTGTTGTCAATTAGCCTGTGTCTCTTTTTTCATTCAGTCTTTTTTAGGTCTGTTGCTTATTATTTCTTCTTCAGTTGAAGAAGTCATTTTTTTGTTTTTTTAGCCTGAAGTCTCTTTGGGGAGTAGAGGAAGGAATCATACTGAACATTTGACATCATACTGTAGGGAGGAAGTGCCCATATGAGAGTCAGAGAAAGGGGCTTTATGAAGGAAAGAGCAGGACTAGCACAACTCACACAGGAGAAAAGCAGCTTATCTTTTTTTTTTTTTTTCTCTCTCTCACTCTTATTTCCTACTCATACTCCTGGTTCCCATGGCAGTGTTTGTATGAGCACCTGACTCACGGTAGCTCTCTGGGCTGTGGGGGAGTTATCGGTGAGCCAAAGCCAGATGCCCTCTCTCTAGGTATCTGGCTGCATACTGCACCTCTTCTGCCTCTTCCCACACAAACTGTCCTCTGGGCTCCTCACACAGACACACACCATAGAGCCACATTTTTGTGTCTCTTCATTTTTATTTTAACAATACCCCTAAAAAAATGCAGATGCCTCAGCTGTTTTCTCAGGCGTACCTCAAACATCAATTCCATGACTCATGGTAGAAAGCAAACATCAGTAAAAGCTCTCTGGCCCTTTTTGCTTATGGCACTTTAAAAAAAACAAAGTGTTACAGCTCCTGACTTTCTTTCTGCACTCCTCACCTGCACAATAGATGCTTGTTTCTTTTCATTTACCGCATCATTATTATATTTCTGCCTGTCATTAACATCTATTAGATATGCTGCACCTTGGTGTGCTGAGTCTGACACTTCAGTTCATTATCTATGAGAGAAACAAGGTTTTCTAAGAAGAAAACAACTGCTTTGAGGCAGACGTGTTGCAGTGGCAGTGCTGAGAACACTGTGCAGAGAGAGCAGATGGTGTAATGAGATACGATGCTATAACCATCACACGGCTTCTGCCTGCATGAGACTGCACTTATACAGCAATCATCACGGGTCATGTCTTTTTTTCTATGAAATTGCAGCAATGTAAAATTACATCCAAAGCATTGAAGGTCGTAGTGCGCTAAAGGTCCGCCTGAAAGTTCAAAGCTATGCATTTCAAATGAATCTTATTGTTAAGTGCAATGGTGCGCTCGTTTGGTCATGCTAACATCCTTAAATGGGCTTACGGGACTCAGTTGGTACTCCACAGTGCGATCAGTGCCAGGGTTAGGGCTTTAGCTTTCCAGGCTAAAAATATGTATACAGTTTTTGTAGCGTAAGATGCTTTGGTTAATAGCGCTGCACATAACATATCCTTCTGTAGCACACTGAAGCACAGTCATGACTTCTGGGTTCAAAGGTGTGCTTACAGTACAACACGTTCTGCAGAAAAGTCTGACCTGATTTCCAGTTGTCACATAAACAGCCAGCAGACTCACACACATCCTGTTCAATGATGTAACTTCCTGTTGTGTAAGGGAAGTGAGCACAGTGTGTCAGGTGTGACATGATGATGGCTTTCTCCTCTTTTGTTGCAAAAACAAATACATACCAACAGTACATCTCATTGTCTATACTGACTATACCTGTACGTTTTGAGGACACAACACAGGTGGGATGTTTAAGGTGTTGGTCTACCTGAGCGCAGACACGTGGAACGAGTACTTGTGTGCTTTTTTAAAACACGTTTGAATGCATGGAAAAGGAGGTTAGGCGAATGGTTTTACAGTGTGAAACGATACACCTCTATACATAATGGATCGCTCTCAGAATGGAAATGACAGGCTTTAAATGGGATGAAAAGGACGTTTTGTTTTTTTTCAGATTGGGTTTCAGCAACAAGAAAATCAGTTAGCACCATCAACTGACCGGCTGTAGATAACTGAATATGAGAGTAGGCGTGTGATTGTGGTATCAGCGATATGCAGGCTCAACACACAGATTTAGGCAGCACAGAACACACAGCTGAGCTAATGTGTACAATAATAGGATTATTACATGGTATTTTAAACATCCTGTCATTGATGTGTGTTTGAGCTCCACTGGCAGACACCAGCAGAGCACATCTTACCAACACTACAAAGGTACTTGTCTTAGAATCTGACCTTGAGACGGTCTACTTCACTATTCAGATATTCAACACTTCACTGGAGAGAGAATCACTTGAATTAGAAAGAAAAAAATCACATCAGATTATTAAGAATGTAGTGCAATAATGAAGCTGGCACTCTTATAATTAGCTGTAGCTAATGTAGAAGAAGACTTTATAAAGGCATCCCTATGATTGGCAGCACATCAGATGATGCTTGTCACTCAGACCTAAGCTGACGATCTGGTCCTTGTCACTGCTGATTTTGTACAATATGAGTAAGGCTGCTTTACACATGCCAAAGGCACAGCTCTATTTATGTCAACACTCATATACCTCGGTGTGTACAGTGAGCAGAAAGCACCATTAACATCTGTCACTTAGGGCAAAAGTATGTAAGTCAATCTCAATTATAAGTGTTCTGCAGTGTTTCCTGGTTCTCCAGATGTCCATACTGTACATGTGTTCCTGTACATGTACTGTTACCATTACCTCAGGCACTTTCAGATGGGCTGCTGCATGAATGCACCATGTGCAGTGCAGTAAACTGTTTACTGTATATAAAGTGAACGTTATAGAGGAGGGCTGCCATCTAGTGGTGACAGTGATATTGGAAGGAAAGTATAGCTTGATACTAACACGTGCAAAATTAAACGTAAATCGTCACTTGACGTGCGCCTACAAATCAAAACAAATGAGCATGGATTAATTGAGTACATTTTTAATCTAGAGTTAAAGTCCCTACTGAAATCTCTATCTTAAATTACAACAGAAAATAAAACAAATGTATACATTATTATAAACCTTTCCCCCTCTATTTAAATAATGATTTCACTATTTAAACGTCTTTATTGGTTTATTTTATTTATATTCTGTATATTACTGTCTTTCATTTGTACTTTCCTTTATGTAGGCTACTGTATGTTATTTAGTTATTTAATCTGCCTTTTGCTTGATTTACATTGTAATATTGTTTTTTTTTACCTGACTGTATATGCACATTACTCTTCTTGAATAAAGCTAAACAAAAAAATAAAACGGGTGAATGACATTTTTTTTAGCACTGTACTTTTGTCTTTTTTATGATGGTTACATTACATTACCACCATGCCTTTGATTTAATTTTTATCATTTTTCTTTCATTATATGTTTTTTTTTCAGTCTTTTTTTTTTTCTCTTGAGCACTTGCAGCTCCTCACTTTGATGCATTACACTGCCACACACCATCTCCAAACATTACCTCTCTGATAACCTCAACATAAAACAAAGTTACTTCTTGACTTCACCATATCTCCTTTAAATGTATCATCTGTATTAATATATTGTGTCTTTGCTGTTTCGTGTTATTTGCTGCTGGTTTGTGTTTTTTTGTTTTTGCTTTCGTTGTTGTTTCTAGGTTGGTAGAGTCGGTCGTCTCTCAACCGGAAGGTTAAGGGTTCGATCCCCAGATCCTGCGGCCACATTTCAGATGTGTCCTTGGGCAAGACACTTAACCCCAAGTTGCTCCCAATGCTGTCGGTGGCATATGCATGTATGTATGAATGGGATTAGTTACTTCTGATGGACACTTTACATAGAAACCTCTACCATCAGTGTGTGAATGTGTAGGTGTAACATGCGTTGTTAAAGCGCTTTTTGAGTAGTCAGAAGATTAGAAAAGCGTTATACAAGCTCCAAGTCCATTTACCATTTCTATGTGCACCTACTTGTTTTTTGTTCACTTCATCACCAATTAAAAAAAAAACACTCACATGAATTTCATTCTGATCTCCTCAATCAAAAATTTATTCACTTCTGTACAATAAAAAACATCCAGTGGTACCAGTTACCAGTATTGTTTCAATTTAAAAAAAAGATTAAATAAATTAGAAAACCATCATAAAATGAGCAAAATACAAGAAGTATTTCCAGTCCAAGAATTCTAACAGTAAACTGAATTTTCTCCAGCTGTGTACATTGCATATCAGGATTTAGATCAATTCATTTTCCATTCATTCAAAATAAAACAGACTGAAAGTGAAGTTTACAAAAACAAATCCCCATTTAACTGTAAATAAGATTGAAGTTCAACAGCAAGAAGATTCAGACTTCATTTAAAAACCCCATCAAATTAAAGTCACACCATGTTGAGGTGTATTCACAAAGGAATAGTGTAGGATGATTCGTTTCACAGCTAAATGATATCCATGAAGTCTCTGGACAAAAAAAAGAGGCGGTTATGTTGCGTGCCCCAAGTACAGGGGCTATTGTCCTCATAGCAGCGGCTGTGGGTTCGAATCCCTCCCCGCACTTTGCTGCATGTCATCATCCCCCACTCTCTCCTCCCAACATTTCTTGCTCTCTTCAGCTGTTCTACCCAATAAAGGCAAAAATGGCCCAAAAAAAGCAAACATTTGCGCCGTAGATATAAAATGCTCCCGTGATGCAGCATTTAAAACCCCTGTTACATGACCTTAAAACAAACATCATTGGAATTATCCGACATCCAACACAATCAGACACAAATGTTTTCCCAGAAAAGTGTTATAACAAACATACACGTGGTTTCACCATGAATAGGTACAACTGTGCAAGTTGTTACAAACCTTTAAACATCTTACAAAGTGCTAAGGTTACTCTACTTGAGAAATCATAGGAAATATAAGGTGCCAGTGATAACATTCTCCAGAGATACACCTCTGACACTCATGTTACAAAAGGAGGACTAAGTGATCCAGCAATTGTCTGATCCTAATGCAGAAGGCACATTAAGATCTGATCTGGATCAAACCAGGATTCAGATGTGATTTGGTGTTCAATCGTTTTTTTGGGTTAAATTGACTGAACCAGATTGTGTATCATAAATGCGGGTGCAGGTAAAAAATGGCTCCTGAATCCTCCAGTCTTTTTAAGGCTTCAGCCTCATGATTGAGGTCATGGTAGGAGTTCTGCAGAGACAGAGGGCTTGCATCAGTATTCAGAATGTGTAAACAGAGTGTATTTTCAGTACTGCAGAAGACTACTACTCACCTTCATAGACTTCATGGTGTCATAGCCATAGTAATGGATAGGGTGTCTTTGGCTCTTTGAGTTGGGGTACCCAAAACCAGCAATGTGGACCACATCACAGTAGTTGAGAGATACAAACACAGCGAGTAAACCCGTGGTGGGATGCACTGGCTGATGGAAGGAGAAAAAAGAAAAGAAACAAATGACAGTTTACTGCAAAGACAAGTCATGAAAAACCTCTTAATATCACACACCAAGGAGCTTCTGTTAAAGATTTATTATCAAGTGACATTACGAGCCAACATGCTCTTACTCAGACTTGAAAGCGTAGGGTCAGGGGGTTAGTGACCCCACACAGCTGAAATTCATCAAATTCATCAGGTACCAAAAACATGGAGATGCATTATTTAAGTAGCGTAATATAATAAAGATAAATTCAACATAGAGATATCATAGACATAGAGATATCCTCTGTAGAACACAGACATCCATAACATGTGCAGTTAAAGCATGTGAGTCATGCCTACACACACAAGGAACATTAAATATCAATATACCTACATATAACATACCTGACACAACTGGGATAAATACCAGTGCACAAACCGGGATATATAGTAATACTATGTTTACTAAGACAATGTTAATATACTATGTTAATATACTATTGTGACATCACAAGGGCAGTAACCCCTCCCCCAGGTGGGTGACACTCCCACAGCTAGGTGTTTGTTCTGCCCTCTGAGTCTGCCTTCTCACCGTAAACAATAGGACATGGTGCAAGAAAGCCTAAGCCTTTCCAGAGAGGGGTCAGACACAGCTCATTTACATATTTAAAGGTACAGACACAGAAACAGCCTGTTCTGAGCAGGGCTGAAATAGAGGGGTTTATAGACGTGATCAAATACAGGATCAGAGAGGATTTAGAACAAGAAACTTCACACACATGTTTTTGGGAGCTCTGAGACTTATTTACACTGAAGAAGAGAAGGAGGAGATGTGATCTTTAAACTTCTTAAAACCCTCATGAGTGGCAATTCAAACTCTCATGAGCAACTCAGAGTGGTAGCATAAAAAAGACAGCCCGTCAGACAGCTAGAATAAAAGTACCAAAACATTCTTAAAGTAACTCAAAACCTTCCCAAAATTTCATTGCATGGGATTTTTCACTTTCGTCAGACACGCTGTCAGAATCATGTAAACTTTGAGAGGATTTCAATTGATTGAAGTAGTAGCTCTAGGATTAAATTGTTTGTTTTAATTGTGGTGTAAAGTCAAACATCAAGGATAGTGGAATGTACATGCACCTGTTGAAATGTGCTTCAGATTGAGTGTTTAGTGACAGCAAGAATAAATGTTTGACACCAGGCCTGGTTCTAGACTACTTTGACTGGGGGGGGGGGGCAATGTTGACTGATCATTTACAGTACCATAACAGTGGTGCCCCGAGGTTTAGACAAATTGGTTCACTGTAACAGAGAGCGAGAAAGAGTATTTTTGGAGCAAAACTTCTGAGCACCTGTGATAGTGCTGGATAGCGAGCAAGTGTTGTTGTTAAACATACGATAAACTTATATTTACTGATTGTTATTGGTAAGCCAAGTTTTTTACTTTAAATCTCGCTAGCAAAACGTTAGCTTTCTGGTTCAATCTAGTTCGTAGGTGACGACTGAGACTCAGCACTCAGAAAAAAAAGAAGGAAAAAGGAGTTTGGGGAACAATTAGGGCGTGGTAAAAAGCAAACTCCCAACCCCTCTGGCTCACATTGCACACATTTCTTTTGCACTTAATATCTCAGTAAATGTGGAGCAAAAGTGATTTGTGCATTAGAGACTCGCAGCAGTTGTAGTTATTGACTTGTGTTTGTGATAGAAAAATATCAAAGAAAAAAAGAATTCTACAGCTGTGTGAATGTGTTTGCTCCATATTCACTGCAAGAAGCTGTAGGAAAAATGTGACCGTATTAGTTCCCTAATTTGTGATTGGTAAAATAGGATTTGTGCACCTGCAATGAAGAACTTGTGAAGGTGTACCTGTTGTGTTGTGATTTTGGGAGAGACAATAAAGTCTACATGTTTTCAACTCCTGACTTCAAATGTACTGCTACACATGACTATTTTCTACAAATACAAATTCTACTGTCACAGGTGCTCAGAGAAAGAGAGAGAGAGAGAGAGAGAGAGAGAGAGCAAGCAATCAATTAAACAGACTGTGAGTGAACCACTCACTTTTTTGTTTTTTTAGAGGAGTTTGCCACTAGGTGTAAAGTGAAACTGAACACAAGCACAAGCTAACTGCTACATCTCAAGTCACAGAGTGTGAGCGAAGTAGGCAAAGCAACTGAGTCGTGATCTGTGTGTAGTGAAGTAACTGATCCCCCTGCGGTATCCAGTTTCTTATATACCAATCAAACTTTGAGTATTTGAAAGTGACATGTTTAAGATTGGTTAAAGCGATACAGACAAAATAAACATAACATTTTGAGTTGAAGCGGGATGATTTGGTCGGGTAGTCAGAGAATGTTGTGGGGCATTGCCCCACCCTGTCCAAGCCTAGAGCAGGGCCCCTTTCACACTCTTAAAGCATGCAGGACTGCAGTCTCTCATTTCACCACTAGATGGTAGAAGAGGGCAAAGAATTGTATGAGTAGTTACTCACCACAAATATTTTACATGAGCAGACTGCCATCCAATAACTCCAGGACTTAAGTGTTGTGAAACTCCATAAGCTTATGACATGCTAACTTCTGATTACATCTAGCTCTTGTTCCTTCAGAAGTTGTTTACACTTGTCTTTCAGTCTCTCTGGAAAGACTTTCTGCAAATTGAATGTTGTGTAATGTAAACATGTAACGTCTTGTGAGCTTGTAGTACGTTTTTTTAAAGAGCTTGATGACTTAACAGAAAAAGTTTGCAACATTTAGTATTGTAAGCCTCACCCTGTTCTCTGGTAGCTTTCCAACAGCTTAGTCACAAGCTTATCACTGTCTGTTCTTAGGAAGAGTACTCGTGATGTAAGCTATACTAAAAACAACTCCAGACTCATTTCCCACATGAAGAGTCAAATTCTACAGAAAATAGTTTTTTTGGGTCACACACTTTGTTGTTACTAGGTTGAAAATAAAGTAAGTAAATGTGTACACAGTTAAACAGACTGTATGCTTAACCCCCCAATACCCTGACCTTTGCTGAAATCCTTGTTTTCACCTTTTGGAAATCATCGAATGGATGGCACAATACTGAGATTATTATTCATGTTCATAAAAAAAAAACTCACATATCATATCTTTCACTACAGCGCTAGTCAGGAATCGAGGCTTAATTTGAATAGCTGCTATTGAGAACAACACCAAAGTAGCCAACCACTATGAAAACAGTGAGTCACAGTTTCAGTGGGGTCATCAGACACAAAAACATAGAAGTTACAGAGCTTCCACCTGACTCTTCTTGTCAGAAAACACATGATGTATTTTTTGGTCTTTTTGTGCCCCTAATGGAGAGATAGGACAGTGGATAAAGTCTGAAATCAGGGAGAGAGAGAGAGAGAGTGGAATGACATGCAGGGAAGGAGCCACAGGTGGGAACTGAACCCGGGCCGCCCGCCTGGAGGACCAAACCCTCCACATGTGCGCGCACCAACCACCAACGTCCCATCAGAAAACACATTTTAACTCTGGTTTACCAAACACTTATTGAATCCATCCTCACTAATATCTCCTCCTGGTACAACTTCCCTCAGCACCAAACACAAATCCAAACTCTCCCGCATAATTAATCAGGCCAACAAGATAATCGCTTCACCACAAACTACCGTCTCTGAACTGTATGACTGCTCTGTGATCGAGAGAGCCACCCTGATCACAGATGACCCCTCTTACCCCCTCCACCTCTTCTTCCAGTTACAGAGTCCCTCCTGGCCCGGAAAAGCATCTACAAAAAATCTGCAATAACCACGCTGAACAAAATCAAATAGAGCCCTTTTTAACAGCTGTTGTTTTTAACAGTCCTCTTTGAATGTCTTTACTTTGTGTTGTGTTTTTTAAATGTGTATATTTAAAGTTGTGCTTATTGTTTGAGCCTTGTCAAATGATAATCTATGTAACTGTAGGGACAGACAATACACTTTATACATCTATCTGCCTATAGACAATATAATAAATTACATGAATAAACCCACTAAATTAATAACATAACTATATTAAGACATTGTTTAAAACAATGACAATGAGCTACAACATCCCTGGATCAAATGAGGACAGGAACCTTGGTTTTGTGTTGGTCCCTGTGGCTTCCTCTAGCACCTGGTTTCCTAGCAACAGATGTCATCTCAACGGTATTCAATGTCAAAACAATATCAGAGACAATAGAGTTGAGTCAAATACTTGAATGCCCTTTTCTATTATCCTTCCTACAGTTAAAGGGATCAATTGATTTAAGAAAACACCAATCCAACCAAAGAAAGGGAGCACAAATATTACCTAAATTAAATCTCTTTGTAGCCAGATAGACGGCAGTCAGACATTTAGTCATTCTTTTCTAATGTAGGTTCTTTGTTTACACACTTCTTCTGCTCGTGAAAATTCATCTTCTGTACACTTTGATTCATTCATCGGACTCGGGAGTAGTTATTGAATGCTGGGTGAATGAGTCGACAATGATGATGCATCTATTCCCTTTGAAAGGTAATTAAAAAGTGAATGCAGGAGTTGGTGAAAACAGCTGTGTCATGTTCAAATGTATTTATGCTATCTTCCACCGGGACGGGTCAAAATAAGACACGTAAAGAAATAAGAACAAAAGAGGACGAGAAAAATGTATTCCAACTCGCACTCTGAATTTTGAAAACCTCCTGGCCAACACGAAAGAGACTATATACAAATAAAAGATTTCCAGGTTAACTGGTTTGGTTCTAGCTGGGGACCTTTGTCTGTTTACAATGTTCCACCTCACCCTGTGTCTAAATGCTTGTCTTTTAAAAAGAAAATGGGACTATCCAGTGAGGCATGACACAAAGCAGATCTCGATGCAGCAGATAGTGACAAAATGCATATTTCCTCTGTTTTAATGCCTGTCACTTGGGATCTGCCTTTCCTGGAAGCTAAACAGTATAAGGGACATTATCAGACCCCTCTGGCACTGCAGAGAAATAAAGCTAATGTGAGACTTAATGAGAGGAGGCATGTTTGGTTGTGTTGTCCCTGGTGGGTCTTACAGTGCACACACATAATTGCTTGTGTTGTTTGCCATGTCCCATATGACTCCGTCAATGATTACCCATTGTCCACAGGGGCGAGAAGAATCACGCCCAGATGACCGCGAGCAACAAGAAGAAACCTTTCTTTCCATCCCTCTCCCAAAAAAAGGCAGCACCCTTTCCCCACAGTCATGCCTCTCTTCTCCACCACTTTCCATGTGATCATCAAGTTCTGTCCTGTCTGCAAGCACATTTCTATTGCACGTCTAACATCTCCACTAACCAGCGTTTACAGATTCCCTAAAACACTGGGGTTTTTTTCCAGAACACTGCAAGGCTTTTGTGATCCATCCATTCATTCAGATACAAATGTGCATAAAATATTTCCATCTTATAATCATCTTTTGCTTTTTTCTGTCTGTTGGAAACGACAAGTCATGGTTGTGTGTGGTGTTATATCTCATGGCAGGCAGCAGTGGTTTCCTCAAGTCTCACCCAGTTTGGCAGCCTCACAGATGTTGGTCGGCAGATGATGTTACTTTTGGGAAAAGCCAGACTTGGATTTTCCTTCTGTTTTCCAGTCTTAGTCTATGCTGATGCTCATTTAACTGTCTGCTAGGTGGCGATTGGGTGGGAAGGGGGGAAATGATGTTCTGATGTAATGGTCAGCTAGGATGCAATAAGCAAACATCCAATCAAACATAGCTTGTGTTTAAAGCTCTGCTGTGATTGATACAAAATACAAGACGTCTTGTAAACTCACACCTGACACTAATCAAGTGTTCAGCAAACCTGAGGAAGCCACTTTGCTAAAAGCTTGGTTTGCTCCAATGTTTTACATGCATTATATTTCTAAATCAATCTGAACAATCCTGGTATGTGCTGGATTACTCTGGTCTTGAAAGCTGTCTGTTCCTGATCTAGCTGCACCCTGGATAAGTAGCACGGCTGTGCACAGGGCACCCATCAGTCTCAACATCCTGTATTCTTCTTTTCCTTATGAAGCATTATTCTAAACCAAGTTGCTTTTAAACAGTTTTTTTTCCTTTAATTCAGAAACTAATGAGCACCCCGCAATGGGACACAGCTGACATTCTGTGTGTATTAGCCTCATGCGGTCGCCGGCTCACGGGCCAACACCAGAGCTCTGCAGCCGGCCCGGCGCATAGTTTGGACGCAGGCCCTTGGAGCCTTGGTGAGCAACAACGACAGTGGGGGGGGGGGGGGGAGAGACCTAAGGAACTCCACAAAAGGCTGTGCTTAGGGAGACGGGGTGTGAACATGAGAGTTATGTGTTCAATGCATAAAAGTTAGGAGAGAAAAAAACTGCACTGAACAGAGAAGTAGTTGCATGTGCACAAGTATGAGATTTGTGTGTGTGTGTGTGTGTGTGTGTGTGTGTGTGTGTGTGTGTGTCTTAAAGGGGGTCCTTGTGTATCTGGCAGGATCATTAGCTGAGGGAGGGTAGCGTGCCTGCAAAGAGGAGGTCTACATTCTGTATTCAGGACCCCTTGCTGGTTTCTAATGGATGTGGAAATACTCGAGGACAGAAAAAAAAGGGAAAGTATAAAAAAACATGTTGATGTTTTAAACACTATACCTAAGGTCATACACATATGTGTAGCATTGAGTAAAAATAATTGATTTCAAGATATTGTACCACTGTTAAAACACCAAAGGTAGGCTCCAGTTCTCCCTATCACTAATGCCCCCCCCCTTTCTTTCTTCTTCTCCTCCTCCCCACAATCCTTTCCCCTACACTCCCTCCATACAGTCTGTGTGCAGATGGTGCAGAGCTCCTGGCGAGCGCGCCCGCTGGTCGCCTGTAGGATTGCTGCCTTCCCACTGCTCACTCTTTTCATGCAGCAGCCAGTTGTGTTTGTACTACAGTCTAAAGGGTAACACCCCTCTCCCCCTTAACTATTAAAAAAAAAAAAAAAAAGGGCTCAGAGAAAGGGGAACAAGCAGATCCAAAACAAGACTTGGCCCCCGACGCACATCAGAGACAATCCCCCACCAGAAACACACAACTAGCCCCACTAGGCAGAAGGGATGCAGCGGGCCAGTAAAGCTTCCCCTCCACATGAGTAATAGTCCAGTGAGGGAAGGGAACAAACTATCCAAGGCAAAAAGGGGTCAAAGTCCAGTTTGTGAAACAAAAACAGATCAATTGTGCTTTGAAACAAATGCAGTGTGTCATGTTTTCTCATTGCACAATCACTTCTTATTAGCCATAGAGTTAGCTTGTGGTTAGGTTTCCACTCTAGTTTGTTGTGCTTAGATGAACTGGTTTCCTTCCACCTTTGTCTACTACTTTCATAACTGCTTCACAGAGCCAAGTCACAAATCATGCTTAATTAAGTTCAGCTTAACCCTGAAACCCAGAAAAAAAACTGTCATTAAACCTGGACAGTTTCCAGGTAAAAAAGAAAAAAAAGCATTGTATAGCGTTGCAGAGAAGTTCTGCAGGGAGCTTTCCTTTTCTTTAAAAAAACGCATCTGGTTGAAATTTACACAATATTTTTGGCCTTCTTTCCGAAGCCAATTATCTCAGAGGAGTCACTCACTCACTGCACAGCCTCACAGACGAGAGGAGCTTATCTTGTAATGAGATGAGCAGAATGCTGAGCAGAAGCTAATCTTCATTATGTTTTGCAGTAATTGGATCCACCAGAATTGCATATTGACCCGGCTAACATTTCAAGAGAAGTGACTCTTCTGGTAAACAGTTTATCACAGAGCTGGAGATGGATCACTCGAGGAGCCGTGTGGCTAATCAGTGGACGCTCCATCCAGCCTTGTTAACATTCATGTGGGAAGTGGTGAAGGGCGAGAGGAGGGAACAGGGGGCATGGGAGAACGGGGGGGACAAACGAGAGAGAAGGACTCTAGTGGGAAGATGCAGATAGGGACACAATTTATTTGCAGCAACAAAGGAGAGGCATCTCCAACCAAAGTAATAGACCTACAGAGGCTGATGAGTTAGCGATTTGTTCTCTGCTCTTACTGAAGTTAGAGCAATCATTCTGTGTGCGGACCAGAATAAGAATTTCCAGGTTCCAGAATTTAAATCTCAACACCTGTAGCATTATGACTCTCAAGGTACCTATTATTGAAATCTTACTTACATTCCTATTCTATTTGATTAATATTTTTATTACTATATTTCTACTGTTATACTGTATATTTTGGAGCAACTGTAATGACTGAATTTCCCTGTGGGATTAATAAAGTATTTCTGATTCTGATTCTGAAACCAGGGAAGTTAAAGTGACCTCTCACCTGTTTGCTCTTGGGGTAGAGAGGGATCTGGAGTAGTCTGTCTGCAGTCTGGTGCAGAAAGTGAGGGTCCAGCACTCTGATTTTACTGACGTCACCCAACCAGATCTGGGGAGGCGGCTTCCAAAAGCCTTTCCTGACCTGGAATGCACATAAACACAGGAAAAGATAAAAACACAGGCTGTTTTTTTTTTTTTATACTGAAAAGGGAACAAAAGGGCAAGAAATGGGTCAAAGATTGCTAATCTCAGTTAGCACACAGAGTTCATTTACCGGACAGAGATGCAATTGAACCTATTACTCCCTCATGTCCTGCAGCAACCGAACTGATGTGCAAATTAGAAGGTAATGACCGTGCAACTATTAGCAGGGGGGGGGGGGGCTGCTGGGAGCAACAGAGTGAGGGATGTCTGCGATGGAAACTTCATTTAAATCTAACGGGCATTGACATCGCTGAAGCGGAACCTTTCAAGTATTTGTTTCAGTTATGGGTGGCTGGATAAGAAGCTAAGCTAAGTGTTGAGAGCGAGGAAAGAGGGGGAGACAGGGTAGGATGCAAAGTGTGTTTTTTTGTGTGTGTGAGTTTTGAGTGTGAGAGAGTGCATTCTCACACATATCCTGTACCCTCTTCTCATTATAAAGGATCTCTTTAAGCCACCGTAGATCTTGCAGCTTGAAAGGCACAAGGACCATAAGTGTGCTCGGCTCGTTGTGTAGTCCCGGGTTGTAAGAAGCCGACTCCGGGTAGAAGAACCTCATGGTGGTCTTGTTCCCCACGTCATCCTCGTAGCCTCTTACCGGGGCATCGTTCAACCTGAGACAGTGACCACATCCAGGGAAATTTACACGTTTGAGTTTAATCACAAAGATAACTAGTCAGGACCTCTGAACTACTGAGGGAACAACTTTGAACCTGGGTGTTGTGATTGTAATTGCTCCTTCTTTTGGCCAATGTTCACCTGCATTCACCATCTGCATTATTGAGATTCAGGAAAAGACACTCCAGCTATACAATATCAATGTCAGAATAGGCTCTGCAAGAGTTGAAGCAAGTAGACGAGAGATTGGGAATGCCTTTTATGATTTTTATACTGTTTAGTTTCCTTGCTAGTGATTATAAATGCGATAAACATTTACGCAGAGGTGTCTTTGTACGTAAAAAATTCACACATTTCGGCTGTCTGTTAAAGTCTTTATATGTGATTTTTCACACTTAAATATAATAGAAATCAAGTATCTCCTCTGAAAATAACTCTGTGAGTCATGACTGTCTACAATGGGTGTAACACCCGAGTCCCACTGTCTGTGATGTTTTCAGAGTTTTCAGAGTCCTATCTTCACTTTGTTTACATCGTCAGGACAGCCGGCTGACTCCTCCCCTCGTGTATAAAAGTTGTTTAATTGAGGGACTAGAGAAAAGAAGAATAACATACTGTACTCACTGCTTAACTGTGTTTCTAGATCACGCTCATTTCAGGTAAATTTACATGCAGTGTGAAGATACGAGCATAATAAAGATCACTAGCATTAGCATGCTAACACAACAATACAGCCTTTAATATACGCTTAACAAGCAATGGACTCTGACTGGGGTCACATTGAACATAGCCAGAATTTGATATGTCACTCAAGGGAGAAGAGCCAATTACAAGTGTTTTTGTCTTGTCAATAAGGGCAATTTGACATTCAGTGTCAGCATATCTGAAATCATCAATGTGCAATAACTGTATTTTTACACCACAGCACACCATCAGGACGGGGTCTATTCGTTATTGAAGCTAACAGCATAGGGGATCTACGCTCTTGCTATTTGGTTAGATATCAGGCATCAGATATCAGATACATCACAATATTTATCAGCAGTAATTACAGCTATAATTATTTTAAACTTACTGTAACATAGTTTAGGGTTGTCCTTTAAAATATCTTAAATTAAAGTCATTCGTAATGTGACTTGATTCCATTTACTGTATATCAAGATGGACAGCGCAACGGCCACCTGAAAGTGAAGCCAAAAGATTTAGAGCTCCCCCTGCAGTACAGGTCACAAACCCCGCCTCCTCAGTGTTAAGAGATAGGACATGGGTCAAACTATGATATCTAAATCCATATCAGATAATTCTTTGTCAAAGCCGGTTTCTTCAGGGAAGCTAGTTATTATCACACCAATTTGTGTTCAAGTCATCTTTATTTGTACGTTTATTTTGAATTAGCGTTTTTGATGCTTTAAATTTGTATAAAATGCAATGATTGACAGCTTTGTTGACAAAGGCAGCTCCTACAGCTCCTGCCGTGCTGTGTGCACCTGATTAGCAAATCAGATGCACACAGCACGGCTAACACAAAAGTCTTTGAATTTCCACAATTAGAAATGTCTCCTTCAAACTGACAAAATAATCTGTTCCACTGTGGACTGTACCCATCTGACAGATTTCTGGTCAATCATTGCTATAGCTCAAAATTGACAATTTTTTCTGCATTTTTTGTTTTTGTTCTCTCTAGGGATCTACCAGTAAGAACCAGTAACCAGCCTCCACATACCACCTGTCATTTCCTACAGCTGACTGTCTAAAAATAATTATTCAAAATAAAGCCTACAGAAAAGTATTGGCATTGCACAATATTGGCACTTGAATTACTTTAAACACATTTTTGACACAAGTTTGTCTTAAAAAAACACATGATGAATCATTCCATGAGCAAAAGAAACATCAAGTGGTCAGGCACAGACAGAGACCTTGTTTTGTTTGAGTGATGAGGCTGCACTTTGCAAACTTGAGTCCAGACTTTAACAGAGTCTAGTCATATTTCAATGACAGAACCAGCCAGATGACGTCAAAGTCTCAGGCATGCAATGTTTTTTCTGAATGTCATTAACCTTACTCTACTTGGCCAGAGAATGATAAGCTTCTGAGAGATGAGGGAGGGTAGGAGGGAGTGAGGTAGGGGCTGATGGGAGGGGGGGGGGGGGGGGGGGGGAATGCATTGTGGCCATGCCAACTTCTGGCTGTTTAGAAGAGGCTTATAAAAACTCAGAATGCATGGGCTCATTCCAAGTCTGTAAAGTCAGAGCGCCTTTGTCCATGAGTAAACTAAAACCTTTCTGTTCTCCTTTACAGAAATGTACTTGACCCAAAGGATTGCTAATTGGCTCTATGTCTCTATGTCAGGGTCAAACAGTCACACAGGCGGATACTGTCCATCATTAGCTCACAGCCAAGGCAACTTCAGATTCTGACTCAGATATCCATTTACAGTTTTTTAAAGATCAACTAGCAATGATCTCTCAGTTCCTAACTCAGCCCTTAAAATCCTGAAAAAACTAAAGTGGTTATGAAATCTCTTTGGCCTAAAAATAAATAATGACCTTTAAATAAAGTACAGTACAGTAAATAAAGTATCTCCTACAAATCTTTTTCCTAAATGGAATCAAAAACTAGCAAAGCAGCTTAACCAAGACTCATTCATCCTCTTTTTTGTCTCTTTCTTTTTTGTCAAACGTCAACAGAAAAAATTATTATGAATGTGAAATTTAAACAATGTACTTTCATGAGGTGTTGTCCTTTGTGCTTACCGAATGACCACGTCATATTTGTTGATGATGCTTCCCAAGGAGCTGTTTTTTATGGCAAAGCCGTTTCCTATGACTACACAGGTTCTGCATTCAAGTCTGTCGAGAGAAAAAAAATCCACATATACACATGAATGTTAAAGTATCCCTTCCATGGATCCTGAGGTGAATGTTCTTTCAGTGTTTGTAAAGTTAGATATCGACTGGAGAGGTTGGGGGGAATTGGAGTTGGAATGAAATTTTGTGTGGCGACATTATATCGATTCATCTTTATTATATTATTATGAAATAATTATGCTTGTTTGATTTTTAATTGCTAAAGGGGTTGCAAAACTTGAACAAGTTGCATTACAGTGGTCCATGCATGTTTGTGTCCAGTTAAAGTTAGAAGTCTAGGGGCGCTGGTGGCGCAGTGGTTGGTGCGTGCGCCCCATGTATGAAGGCTGTCGTCTTAAGCGGGCGGCCCGGGTTCGCATCCCACCCGTGGCCTCTTTCCCGCATGTTGTTCCCCACTCTCTCATCCTGATTTCCAACTCTATCCACTGTCCTATCTCTCCATTGAGGTCACAAAAAGCCCAAAAATAAATCTTAGAGAAAAAAAAAGTTAGAAGTCTTTGATTTGACTGAAATACCAACAGTTCAGATTGTGAGGAGCATGAAGCCTTTCATTGTGTATAAAGAAAAAGACTGAAGTGAGATGAACAGACTAAATATTTGTTCTTGGTTTAGTTTAGTTTAGTGGAAAGAATATGCAGTTCAAACAGTTCAATCTTAACATATTGTATCGCAATCCTCAGCATATCGCAAAATGTTTAAAATCCCAATAATATCGTATTGTATCGGGATAATATCGTATCATGGTGATTCCCATCACTAATAAATGACATATGACTTTCATTCTTGATTAGAGTTATAGAAAGAGTAATGTGGAAAAGTGCAAGACTCTAACAAAAAAATCTATCTTGGTATCTTGTAGGACTGTAAATACCAGGATGTTTAACACTGTAACACAGCTTGAACCAATCACAATGCTTAAAGGATTAATATATGTGATTTTTTCACACTTAAATATAATATAAATCAAGTATCTCCTCTGAAAATAACTCTGTGAGTCATGACTGTCTACAATGGGTGTAACACCCGAGTCCCACTGTCTGTGATGTTTTCAGAGTTTTCAGAGTCCTATCTTCAGTTTGTTTACATCGCCGGGACGGCCGGCTGACTCCTCCCCTCACGTATAAAAGTTGTTTAATTGAGGGACTAGAGAAAAGAAGAATAACATACTGTACTCACTGCTTAACTGTGTTTCTAGATCACGCTCATTTCAGGTAAATTTACATGCAGTGTGACGATACAAGCATAATAAAGATCGCTAGCATTAGCATGCTAACACAACAATGCACCGCAAGTTGTTTTGGTTTCATGCTGGTGCTCAAGGGCGACATCTGCTGGATCAAAAAAATCACATACAAAGCCTTTAATGTCTTTAATTAAAAAAAAAAAATCTGCATTCATAGCATTTAACATTTGATGCACTGGGTTAAATGGAATCGAGCTTCAGAATGATATGCCAGTTTGGCTAAAGTGCGCTCACTTACTTTTCTGTGATGGTTGGCTCCTGGTAATTTGCAGTTACAGCAAGAACTTTTAGCAGCAGCAGCTCTGAGGAGGGAGGAAACACAGGAGCAGTTAAAGATTTGGGGGTGGGGGGGAAATGAGTACAAAAGCGCTATTCACAGAATATTTAAAGACTTATTTTGGGCTGTGACATTTACCTGTAAAGATGTGTGAACATATGGAAAAAAGAAAGTAAAAAGCATGCACCCTTTTACAAAGTATCGCTGACATGAGAGAAATGATCTGAATAAACTGAATGGAGATGATGGAGAATCATGTAAAAATCAACATACCACTGCCCTTAATGCCATACGGTAATGGCAGCTTAGACAGATGCTCCCGCCAGAAGAAATCCTCCAGTTCCAGAAAGAGCTTTGTCTGCCTGCTAATGCTGCATGGAAATGTCAGAGCAGGAATCACAAAAACAATGCTGGCCAGTGCACACAATTTCACCGCATAGATGAATTATATTACAGGAGGATTTTGCGGGCTGAGAGAGAGCAGGAGGATATAAATGAGGTGGAAGGCAGCAAGGATGGAATAAGCACTTGAAATATCTTGGCTGTAACAACTATAAAATCACACAATGGACAATACCAGCTGTGTCGCCAAACAGTACAGTGTTCAAGTTGGCATATGGAAATGCTTTATTGCACTTTCTCAAGTGATCTGGTCTCTATTAAGCAGGTAAACCAGACTCATTATAAGCAAAGCATCCATTTACATGATGTCATTCAATAGCAATTTTCCCCTCATTAAAACTCTCTGTTGGCATTTCTGTGCCGATGAGAGGGGAAGGAAAACAATAACATTCACAGAGCCTGTGGAAGGTTATATATGTGAAACTGTTGCCTTTCTATGTTGGCTGGCTGCAGACTCCAGCTGTTTATGACCTACTGTCTTTGACAGTGAGTCTCTCAGACATTTATTACCCTTGTGTGCCAGCTAGCTGTCCACAGGAGATCAGGATAAATCTCCGGGGAGGGCACTAATTAGAGAAATGTCACTGTGATTGCCTGGAAGGCTTCTGTGTGACGGTAATGAGTGATGCGAGAGTCCAAGAACATCCAGCGGCAACCTTATGTCAGGATGCAGTTTATGTTCTATTACAGGAGTAAACACAGCAAACTTGAACTATGACTGTTTAAGAAGGTCTGGGGGGGGGGGGGGGAGATCGCCTGAGCTGAACAAATAAACAATGAAACTGAGGGAGGTAAGGATAAACCACATGGAGACCATGTAACAGAGAGTAAATATATAAACTGATAATAGAGCAGGGGAATCAATGATGGGGGCTCAGGGCTGCAGGGGATGGGGGCTTTGTCTGGCTCCGCAAAAATGAACTTTTATCAAGCCGACTTCTTAGGAAACATTAACTCTCCCTCTAAACCATTTCATTGACACATTCCACTTAAGTGACCAAACCTCTTTTTTATACTAAAAATATGCTCTTCCTTAATGACTAACAAAGATAAGTAGCTCCATTTCCACGGAGCCTGGTACCTGATGTTCAAATAAAAGAATGTTGGCAAACCTTCCTCACTTAATAGGCCGTACACTCCCACAATTAAAAAAAAACAGACATGCCATTACTCACTTAAAGTTAAGGCTCTCCCACTTCTTCTGGGTTAGCCAGCCGCCACACAGCGACTTGCTACTGTTCGGAGACTTGCTGGTGCCTCCGTAACTGAAAGACAGACAACAACCACAAGTGGCATGAAACGACTGCTGAATCCATAAAAAAAAAACACAGTGTGCCAGTAAATGGGTCCAGAACTCTCAGGAAAGTGCAAGAATGGGCAAATGTAGAGCATTAAACTGACCAGCAGCTCAGATGTCTTACTTAACTTTCAGTGACTCAGCACTGCACAGACCTCATGAGCTTACTTTTTTTTTTAAATATATTTTTACCAGAAATGGTTGTTTCTGTAATTGCGTGACCTCATTTCAAGAAATAAAGTAATGAAAGGCAGTGGCTGTGTAAGCGTGTGTGTGTAATTACCTCTGGATTATGGCATAGGAACAGTAGTATGTGATGAAGGAGATGAAGAAGAGGAGAACTGGGAAAAGCCTAAGGCACCATGCTGGAGACAAAATATAGAAAAACAAAAGATTATGACATTTTACATAAAAGCACATGGTAGTTAGGTACGACACTCTGATGGGAGATTTAAAGATTTATTTGATGTAATTACAGAAAGTTGGCGCTGTGATGGTGACAGTTGGAGAGCGTCTCGCTGTGTGTTGAGTTGGTCTAGCAGCTTACAAGCTTTATCCCCTCAGAACTCTTTGATTGCACTTTGGATGTTGAATGTGATACTTGTGTGTGTTTTTTTTCTGTCATTCATGTATCCTGTATATGCACTGATGCTTTTTACACAACTGACATCCCTGATGGATAAAATAAAGTTAGATGAAGTTGAAAGTACTCCAGACCTCTTTTTAATCAACAACAAAGTAACAGTACAGCAAACAAACAAGCACTCCCTTCTTAATGCAAAATTGTAGTATCAGTACCACACTGGATACTGAAAATTAAAGTTGAAATTAATAACGATAGCTTTCAGACAGGTGCCAGGTGCTATTTAAAGAAAACCGCACATGTGAACAGGAAATGCCCAACCCATAGTATCCTTCTGATAACAGAGAGCGAAAATCCCCTAGATAACCAAAGTGGATCAAGTGTTCAACTTAAATATCAAAGCAGTTAATTATTTAATTTGAACTTGAGTACAATTTGAAGAATTTGGGTAGATTAAAGATAAAGGAGATCTATTATGCTGATCCATATTTAAATACAGATGTATAATGTTATGATGTTGGATGTCCATACTAAACCTCTGCAAATACTTTTTGGTCCACAGATGTTTTAATCTCTGGACGTTGTTGTCTCTCCTTCTGCTCTGGATGAGACGTTATGAGAACCTTGGCCAGAACCCGACATATGAGAGCAGAGCATGGAGCAAAGTTAAACTCAAATTTCCCTGCGACTGTAAACAAAGCTGGCCAATCAGAGGAAAGTTGGGGGGGCTTAAAGAGACAATAGCTAAAATGAAGCGTTTCAGGCAGAAGCCAAAATGATGGATTTTACTGATGCCAGTATTAGATACATAAGGAGGTTTTTGAGCTACACATCTCACAACGCTACTCAATAGGGCTCCCAGAATGACATAACGGAAAGTGGGTATAATAGATCTCCTTTAATATGGATTGCAATCATATGTTCTGTTACATTGTTAGATGTTCAGCCTAGTCAGTGACTCATTGAGGGTGTTTTGTTAGGAACACTATGGCTGCGTTTTCCACCACCCAGATATGAAATGTTATCCCAGTGAAATGACCCTTCTTACCCTCTTCCATTCATGCAATAAAGATAAAATCATGAATTCTGAGTAACAGAATATTTATTTTAAGTTAATCTTCAAACTGTCCTCTAAAGGAGAACAAACACTGAGAGAAGTGACACATTTTATAAACTTTACACTTGTTTTCTACATCTTGAAAGACACATACTGGCTTCTTTCCAAGTTTTAGATAAAGAATTTAGAAACCACTCTCATTGGTGTTCACCAAACATGGACCCACAGCCAGCTACTGGATATCTTAGCTAAGCTCAAAGATTGGAAATAACCTGCCTTGGTCAGTGAAGAGGCTAAAAAAACACCCATACAACAAACTGCAGAGCTAAAGGGGGTAATGTGTGGGGCATATGTTGCCATGGCACAATGACTTCCTGGAGGCTCTGCTGGTTGTCTAGCAACCTCACGGCAATGACAGGACTAAAAACATGTTTAACTATTCCGTTAAGGAGAAGGGAAATCTACTGTAACTAACATTTAGTGACGGCCACATTTCAAATACTCAAAACAAAATAGAGAAATGTTCAATGGAACTGCCACTGTAGACTTGAGTTGAAAACAACTCACTGTAAAGGGTCTTTGTCCATATATAAAGGCCAAGGCCCCTTTTTATTTAAATCAACGAACAAAAGTTTAAAAAGCATCAAGACAGCTTTATTCTTTCCCCTGATCATTTAATGCAGATACTTTCAGGGGTAAGACAGACTTGTAATTTGTGTGACTGTGACTGTTGTGTTGTTGGGGTTGGCTATCATTGTGTAAACCAGTGTGTGCAGTCATGCCTTATCACTGAACACAGGTTGCTTTGGTTTACTACAAACTGGGACAGAATGAGAAGTTACTGGTGGTATTCAGCACAGGTAACTAGCGCTGGGAATCTTTGGGTGTCTCACGATTCGATTCAGAATTGATTATAGATTCAAAACGATGCTGGATTTATTGATCCATGGATTCAAAGTCTATTTATGAATTAGTACATTCAGGATCTACTCCAGTCATCTGTGAGACTGGCTGCATTTCTTGCTGAGTTAAAGAGCTAGCCTTAGCACTTAGCAGTAACTGATTAGCCCCCCCCCAACAAAAAAATAATAATTAAGTTTTTTTTTTTTGAAAGTTATGAATCGGCCGGAGATTTCTGCCTTTTTCATAATAACGTTTTTTCTTACCACTGTAACTTTTGCTGCTTTGCTAAAGTGCTCATGATGGATAGGCCGGGTCTTTGCAACATAACAATGAGTAAGGTCTTTTACCTGCTTTTTGTAACATAACAATAAGTAAGGTCTTTTACCTGCTTTTTGTAACATAACAATGAGTAAGGTCTTTTTACCTGCTTTTTGTAACATAACAATGAGTAAGGTCTTTTTACCTGCTTTTTGTAACATAACAATAAGTAAGGTCTTTTACCTGCTTTTTGTAACATAACAATGAGTAAGGTCTTTTACCTGCTTTTTGTAACATAACAATGAGTAAGGTCTGTTACCTGCTTTTTGTAACATAACAATGAGTAAGGTCTGTTACCTGCTTTTTGTAACATAACAATAAGTAAGGTCTTTTACCTGCTTTTTGTAACATAACAATGAGTAAGGTCTTTTACCTGCTTTTTGTAACATAACAATGAGTAAGGTCTTTTACCTGCTTTTTGTAACATAACAATGAGTAAGGTCTTTTACCTGCTTTTTGTAAAGTGTCTCCAGATAACACTTGTTATGAATTGACGCTATACAAATAAAAAAAATATTTATTGATGAATCGATTTTAAATCTTAGAAGAAAATAATCTTGATTTTTACAGAAATCTATTTTTTTGTCCCACCTCTACAGGTAACCCTTTTTTTTTTAACCTGTAAGTATCATTATACAGATCGGGCCATTAATCTGTGACAGAGAGCATTTCAGTAATCCTCTCATCATCCCATGTGAAATAACACACAGATCAGCTTAGCGCTTTATACTGCATATCAACCGAGAGACGAACACATTCAAATAATCTGTTCTATGTTCCCAACAGAGCAAAAAAAACTAAGAGTTTACAACATGCACCTTTTGTACATTTTGTGTTTTTTATCTTTATTTCTTATATTTTACATTTTTAAATTATATTTTATTTATTGTAATAGCTTCTTATACTGTATTATTTAAGTTGTTGCTAGTTCTGCTAGCCATTGTTTAGCACCAATACACCAAGTCAAATTCCTTGTATGCATAAATGTAATTGCCAATAAACCCCGATTCTGATTCTGATTCTGATGTGTTAAAAAAATGCATCCTAATCGACCAGACAGTCACAGAACTTACTTTTAGTTGTCTTCTGGGACATCTTCAGGTGCTCCTTGGTCCTCTCATGTCTACACAGTGCATGAGGTCATCTTGGTGAGGGGTCTAGAGAGGAGAAAAAACCACAACGATTAGCAACCTCCTTGAAGCTGCCTTAACCTCGTCTAAGAAGGTGACAAAAGAAGAACACACAGTAGTAAAATGAGTCTGCTTTGACCAGATAGAGACACAAACAAATATATTATAATATTGACTAGGATAGGGCTAAGAAGAGGTGGCTGAAGCGGGAGTAGGAGTGGCAGAGAAACAAATTGATGCAATGAGGCAGAACCAAGAGGAGACGCAGAGAGACACAGATGCAGAGGAAAAAAAGAAAAATAGGAGTAAGACAGAGCCGGAAGCTAAAGATGAAGGCTGATTAGATTAAGTGGATCTGAAATGAGGAAGCCGCATTCCATCCTGAGTTCTTAGTTCCACTCTTCAGAGCTAAAAGATCTTTAGATAAGATTAAAAGGCATGTATGGCTACACACACTATTTCAGGTACACAGTGTACATTTTGCACTAAATGTTTTACAGAGGCCAGGAGGACCTTTCTGTAAATCTAAATGTCTCTACTAAACATTCATGATGACACACTTTCAGAACCAGCAAGTCATTTCAAATCAACAGCTAACTGCAGGCGAGCACAGCTGATTATCTATTTTGAGCGGTGTATGTGTTCCCATACTTGCTACATTACTTCAACAGTAACGTAATACTGTTGTAAATCTACTTATAAAAAACACGCCCTAAACTTGAAGTCAGCCAAAGACTGCAAACCACATGATCGACTGACGCCACCATAGGGACTTTCAGTTGATTTCACTTCACACAGTCACTTCCTGTCAACATAAAAACACAATTTCTGCAGCCTTCCTCTCATATCAGGGTGTAGTTTCTTTAGAGAGTGTAAGGCTTCATCCTGAGCCGGATCTGAGGCTAGGCTGTGTTTGTTTCCTAAGTTATTGTTAAAGGCTATGATGAAAACACTCAAGAATGTAGAGAGGAGCAAACTTCAAAGGCACAAAGCATTTATCATGTTTTCACTTCTCTGTTGTGGTAATGTTTGCTTTAAACAATGTTCATGCACGTTTCAATGCTAAAGCATGCTGCACTTTGTCAGTCTAATAACAATGTATACTGAATATCTTTGGGAGTCTGATTGTTGGTTGGTAGAAAAATAAATTTTGTTCTTGGAAAATTATAAAATGCTGATTTGTAGATGGTGACATGGCTTCTACTGAAAGAAATCATTGTATTAAAAAAAGACAGAATTAAATGTGCAGTACTGCTAATGCAGTTGATGCAGGTATTCAGAATTTGACATATTTAAAATGCATCCTGAAATCTGTTGTTCACATCATTGATGTGTTTGTCATTTTTAGATAAACATACCAAAATATTGAAAACTGATACATTCATTGTAAATGAACGTCTTAAGCCTCGTGTGCACAACGTGTTTTTTTCCAGGCAGAAAAGCGCTGGCTGTGTGCTTGGGAGCAGTTTGCATGAAGTGTTTCTGCGCTGAGAAGATAAGCGCTGCCATTCGGGGGATATCATGAATTTAGAAAAGAGCACCAGTAACGTCAACAGCGCCTTTCTGAAAAGTTGAAAGATTTTCAACTTGAGCGGCAGCACAAAAGAGGGTGGAGAGCTTCTAAAAAAAAAAAAAAAGATGCTGGGCGCTGCACGAACGCTCTCTCTTATTGAAAACAACTGAAAAAGGACGCTGGCACTCAGAAACAAAAAAAAACGCTTGGTGGACACTGAGCCTTTAGGGAGCTGTACAAGAACCAACAACAACAAAAACACATCTACAGAACATCTTACCTTTTCCCTCTTTCATTGCCAATTATTCAATCATCAGGGTTACAGGTGGAATGTGTCTGGGCTTCTCCCTGCAGTCAAAAACAAAACAATATGTGAGATATAACAGCAACTGGAAAATATCTGCACAATTAATTTTGCTTTCTTTTCAAGATCTCTTTGTATTTAATTGGGAAACCAAAATAAAAAAAAAGCAGCACTCGGGCAATCTCCATTGTTTTTCTAACATTTAATACACCAAACAAGATATCCAATATTAAAACAGAAGCAATAATGTTCTCACTGCTGTTTCAGATGTCCCTATAACCCTCATGTTTTATCAATATCAATAACAGGACCTGTGCCCTTCAGCCCTCTTATAACCCCCCACCCTCTCGAACATGTGGGACTTACAAAAGCTGCACACACTGTAGCTCCCAGGAGCATGAAGTACAGGAAGCACAGAAGGCACAGAAGGCACAGGACCTCCTCACAGACACCATAGGCAACACAGAGATCAGAGCAGCACAATAGCTGGCTGTGTGTGTGTGATACAGTGAGAGAGAGAGAGAGAGAGAGAGAGAGAGAGAGAGAGAGAGAGCGGGAGGGCGGGCGGGGTTCGGAGAGCAGAGAGGGTCAAGAGCTGCACTTTGTGGCTTAATGATACAGACACAAAAAAAAAAAAAAAGTCAATCTGAAGATGTGAGGGACCAACAGAGCCCGAGCACAGGAAGGTTTAGTCCTGTCAGAGATGCCCTTCACCACAGATGCTTTCTAAAAAGCACCGCTGCAAAGTCTAACCATGGATCAGGAAAGAAATGAAGGCAGACCACTTAAAGAGCTTAGTCACACACTGTAGTGATTAAAGATGAGTCAGGCAGCACTGTGGAGGAAGACTAACTCCAACAAAGGCACTTCATGGGAAAACAGTGTCAATGATTTACTTGGTTAAAGCTCCTTCCTGCCATTATCTGATGAATGATGAGGGCTGACATGCTAATTCTAAAGAATGCTAATGTTGAAAGCTAATTATTACAGCTACAAATGTACGTCAACAAGCTTTTATTTGTGTTCTATATTGAAGTCCTCGTTGTGTTAGAATAGCTTTGAAAGAAGATTAGGATATAATCCTGATAATATTCTTAATATGCAACAACACCAAACAGTTTGATTGTAAATTTGTATGATGTTTTAATTCTGAGCTGCTGTAAAGCTACCATAATGGCATGTCCTTTTATCATACATCTTCATGAATATAGATTTAAAAAAAAGGCTGAGTAGTTTATTGTGATTCTAACAGAACTATATGTGCTTACAATGTGTAGACAAGTGATGATTGAAACAATCTTTTGGAATGCATTTTCACCCACTATCTGATGTCTTTCAACAACAGGCACACGATCTAAAAAAAAAAAAATCTCATCTGCACTCTCTTCACAATAGGGAATCACCTCTTAAACACATAATCCCTGAATTTAATCCAGCCAGAAGAGCTCAATCTGGAGCCCATTTGTAACATTTTGACCGCGTTTATGGGGAAAAGCTTCAAAGAATTTGCACGCTAGAATCAAGTCTTTTGACATCCGAAAAGCATCTGCATTTTAGAGGTGACTACACGGAGCCAAATGAGTGTTGACTGTGCTGTCGATGAAGTGTGAGGATTCCCTGAAGGGTGTTGTGGGGGCAGTCATAGGAAATTGTATTCTTGGTGCATGCTGTTCTCCAGTTTCTAAACCAATAGGACAGAGTTAGCATTAGCAAGCTAGCAAGAGAGCTAAACCATGAAGTAAAAGTAGGGGAATGGATAATGCTTCAAATAATAATTCATAAATAAACATTTAAATGTATTGGGTAAGTTAATAGTTTGCAAAACAGAATAATAAAAAGTAACATATTTAGATAGGCATTCTTATAAATGGTCAAACAGTCAAATACATTTTTGATTTTCTCAGTGTATTTTAAAATGGGGGGAGCAAATTCGCCCGGGGGGGTCGCCGGGGTCACCAGGGGGCGCTAGTGGGGTTGCACAAACTTGGAGGGAAGAGTTACATATCATTGCATATCAAATTCAGTTTTTTTTTGTATCTTTCAAATTGTCAAAAAGTAACACACTACTATAGCCAATCAGAATCGAGCAGACACTATGGGTTGGTCATCTGTCAACCGAAAGGTCTGGGGTTCAATCCCCAGCTCCTGAGGTCACATGTCGATTCATCCTTGGGGGAGACACCAAACGCCAGATTGCTCCCGCTGCATCAGTGATGTGTGAATGTGTTTGAATGGGATAAGTTCAAAGGGACGGACATCTTAAACAGCAGCCTCTGCCATCAGTGTGTGAATGTGGTGTGAATGTCGAATGTTACCTGTGGAGTATAGGCAGAAGACTTAAAAATCGCTACACAAGCTCAAAAAGGATTTATTTTACATATTTAAAATACATTTAAAATCATCGTTGTTAGACTAGCAGTTCAACGCTGCTCGCTGCCTTCAATGCGACATATTGCACAGCCTGACTTCATATTTTTCTCTCGTCTTAAATAGTGCAAAAGGGAGTTTTTTTTAAACAGGAATGTTCTAGAAAATTAACTTTGTACAGTGAACTGCCATTTACCACCTTTGAGTGACACTGAGGCTTCTCCACGATGCGCCAAAAGGGACAAAATAGCATCCTACCACCACCAGGGTCGGCCTCATTACCCTTCAGAGTACATGAAGTCTTCATGATGGAGTCTAATCCCCAAAGACTTTGCACATTTATTTCCTTTATTGTTAAATAAATAATGCTGCTGATGAAGCAGAGGGAGCAATTCTGGGTTAAGTGTCTTGCCCGAGGAGACATCGGAGATGTTGCTGCAGGAGCTGGAGATCAACCCAACCTTCTGGTTGAGACACGACCCACTCTACCAGCTGAGCCACAGCCGCCCCAATGTATACAACCCAAGGATCCATGAAAGCCTGTTAGCATTTGTGCAGGGATCTCTTAACAGTGGAGAAGGCTAATGGATAAACAGCAGCAAAATTCCCAACTGTTATTTTAGCAAAGCTTTAAAAAAAAGTTTGTTAATGCTCGGAGAACTACTTCACACATTAAGATTTTCTCATAGTCCACTGCACAGCTCCTACATTACACTTTTTGTACATTTTGTGTTTTTTATTTTTTATATTTTACATTTTTAAATTCTTTTTATATATTGTAATATCTTCTTATTCTGTATTATTTAAGTTGTTGCTAGTTCTGCTTTATTTCCTTGTTAATTGTTAGCACCAATACACCAAGTCAAATTCCTTGTATGTGTAAATGTACTTGGCAATAAACCCTGATTCTGATTCTGATTCTGAAAAGGTATCTACAAAGTGGGATTTAAACTTTTAGTCAAGGGTTTTAAATGACATTTAAACTCACCATACATTAAGTTCAAAGTGAGTGCATGTCTTTTTATGTGTTTTAACTTCTAGAAGTTATGGTGGAAACGCCATTGTATGAAATATACGATGAAACAATAACCATCAGGATAAAAAGTTACAGGATATCAATTTAGTATACGAGCAGATATAATCCTAATCTTTGCTATGCACTCTGGTGGATGTAAATAATGCAGTAATCTGTGTCTTTGTGTATGACAAACACACTGTAAGGCACGAACACTCTGACTTCATATCCTCTGTTTTGAAATCAATGTGGTCATAATTAGTCAGATGAAAGTTGCAGTTTGGCAGCCGCTGATCTTTTCCATTTAGTCACCACAGACCACATTAAGATAATTTCAACCAAGGTCCAACGAGACGAGCATGAAGCACAGAGGCTTTACTTTCTTTTGAAGGCTGTCTTGCAAAGTAGGAGCTTTAGCAGCCGGCCTCATTTGGTTATCAGGATAGTGTGCGATTTGGGGAGGAAAATCAGTGGAGCTATACTCACAGGTCGGTGAGAGGAATCTCTCTGATTGGCTGTTCAGAGCTTTCATTTCTCTCCAGCTCACAACACAAGTTCAGGAAAGCCCCTTGAGCATGCCGCTGTAGTACCCATGCTTTCACCCATTAGTTACTTATTTTTTCGCCTTGGCCTCTTCTTTTCTTTTTCCTCTAAAAGACCAAGGGCTGACAACACCAGCACCATTTTCAACTTTTCAAGTAGGCTATACCTATAATACGAGTGGTGCGCAACAGCCGTGTGAAAATGGTCTTCTCGTCGGAAATTCCGAGTTGCCATTCCGATATGTCATCAGGAACGCCGCCTTAAGTCGGAATTCCGACTCGGAAACTCAGAGAATCTTCAGTAGCCCGAGTTCAAATCCAATATGGCTGCTACGTGCATCTGCAGGGATGTTTAATCTGTAACTGTTTATTAGCAGCTTAGTCGTCTTTTTGTGAAACTAAATCAATCACACCGATGGTATGGTGCAGGTTCTCTCTGTGGAGGTGTTGTCATGTTATTTTCGGTCATAAACTATCACGTAGTGTGTTGTTATCGTCTGGTGTTAGTTAACAAAACAAAGGTACTCCTGGAGGGGTCCATGTTGCTTTTCCGACTAGTTCCGGTCGTTCTTTGTTGTATTTTAAACCAGATTAGCCCATTTTGGTCCCTTGGAACCAAAATAAGGTGTCGGTCCTTACACTCCACATTACAACCTCTCTAAAATATGTCTCCTGTGTCCTCCAAGTAAACAAAACTGTTTTATTTATCATGTTACTTAACTCAACAAGACAGGGGTCTAAGGGTAAGGCTATAATTTAGGACCTTGTGTCATTTCAATAATGCTATCCATGCGTGTGTGTGTTTATTTGCAAAACTGGAGATGATGTTCCTTGCAACACAAGGACTCATGGAGGTCACCGGTCCAAGAGTATGATTACATTTGCCTGAGATGAATGTTTGGAGGGCAGATATGTGTATTCATCATGTTCCAAAAATTGATTGATTCATGCAGAAATGAATGATTCATACAGAGGGCATGTTGTGTTGTTTCAGCTACATGACATCCAACTCGCTGAGACTTCAATGCAATCGCACCCAAAACGGTGCCAGCAAATACCAGGCTTCTGTTTTTACCTTGAAACCTGTTTGGTTACAAATGTTTGCTGACATGTTGAGTAA